GCTGGTGAGGCCCAGAGAGAGAGAGGCAAGGGCTGATCAGCAGATGCTATGGAGGCTGCAGATCAGACCCTGCTTCTCTCTCTGGGCCTCTCCAGCAGCCACAGCAGGTGCTGACCAGGCCCGCTTCTCTCTCTCTTGGAGAGGTCAACAGTTCAGCTCACTCACCAGTCCACGCCCACCCAAGCCTGCTGTGCGTGCAGCCTGGTTTTCGATCATCCCTTCGTTCATACCCTGGCTCCATAGATAGATAGATAGATAGATAGATAGATAGATAAATAGATAGATAGATAGATGGATATGTGGGATTTGCATGTTAATAGTGATATCAAATTTTAATATGGTATAGAGTTGGTGATATGTAGAATGTAGTACAGCTTTTTCAAAATAAGAAATGATGTTTAAAGCCAGAATTCTATAGGAATATGAAGTACAAAGTGGGAGAACAGATTGTACTTCATTTTCATCCCAAATATTTTCTAGTCATGAGACCATACAACTCAGTAAAGCCCCTTTTATTATATAATTCATTTCAAGGCCTATGAAATTCAGTAAGAACATCAATATGGCAGGTGATTTAAACTCACTGCACAATCCTTTCTGAAGGGTCAAGTTCATGTCTCATTTTAAAGTTGAAGAAATCATCACTAGACTGGCACATAGTATTCAATCAAAAGTTTTGTGGAAATTAATGTATGCTAAATTCATATAAATCAAAGTTGTTGCAAAAAACACTAAAATTAGAAATTTTACTTTAGGAGGTAAGGTAATATTACTCTCTTTTCTTCTATATATGTATGCTTTATTCTCTATAATAAAACAACTATAGATATTTCAATCTTTTTTTTTCTTGAATTCGATTAACTGCTAGTTCATACTTTGGAGTACAATATATTTATTTCATTTTGATATAATCTTTTCATGTCTGACTGTTCAATATGCAATTGTCATACAGATCCACACTTATGCAAGAGTTGTTCAGTCAGAAATATAAGCCATACCATAAAGGAAGCATAATCATATATGGCAAAACAAATAATACATTGAAACTTTATAAAAGAAAGATATAAACAAAACCAAATTAGTGGTTGCAAAAAATTTACATACTAAAATATGTAAATGTGAAATGGAGTTAATTAGGGAGCTTTTGTTTAATTAAGAACCACTATAATCAGCACTTTGAAGCATTATATTTGGCAAATATCACTTTAGTCTCAAAAATTATTTACTTTTTATTTTCAAGCTTATATAACTACTTTGGATTTCTAGTTATAATCCTTAGAAAAACTGTAAATTTTAATTATTAGATTCATTAGTTAGTATCTGCAAATATTAATTCATTAGCTATTTATTGAGCGCCAATCTTGCAAAAAGCACTGGGTGAAGATGTGGGAAGACATTACTGTACCATAAACAACTCCATACAGAAGTAGATTGTTACACCACAGAGTAATATATATTGTGGAGAGTGCCCGCAAGAGTAGCAGGCTGTGACTGAATAATTAGGTGTGAGATCAAGTTCATGGAGTGGTGCAGAGAAGGTTTACTTGAGTTTTTGCTGGAGTGGGGATTCAGGGAAAGATCTTTAAAGGTGCCCATGAACTGAGTCATAATTATGACCATAACTATAGTTTGGCTCAGACTTACTTGCATTTCACTACTTGAGGGCACTATGTACAGATAAAAGTTCAATAACAATTACTATGTCTATTGTAACAATCTTTGGTTATTAGAAAATTCTAATATTCATAGAATAGAAGATATATTTTATTTGCCGTTAGAATATTCGATCTATTTTCCAAAAACAATGCCATTTTTCATGCATAAAAATATAGGACACTTTAGAATAGATATTATTATAATAGAAAGAGCTTTATCTGTACAGGTAACTTTAGTTAAAAAGATCATTTTAAGATGGTATGGAATGACACTAATAAAAGATGGTGGTTTGGTCTTTCATAAAAAAGTTAAAACAAAACAAAAATTAATGCATGTGATCAGGGTAAACACATGTTTTATGAATATGTAAGTATATATTATGATAAATTATAATTTGGATTTCTAATTTCTGGTATAATATTAAATATAACACCTACAGGTGGAAACTCATACATTTCAAGGTTTACCTAATTATTTTAATTGGCTTTTACAAATGTAGTTGTGAAATAATATTACTTATTTTTACATTATTTTTCCACATTGTCTGTTTCTTAGATGCAGTTAGAATGAAAGAATTTCTAAGTTTAGTTTAAACCTTTTCTTAGAGAATTTCACTTTTTACAAATGTAATGGACTCTTTTTTAAGTATACATATATTAAAATATAAAAATGTTAGTCATTTTATTTTTAAGAAATGAATGTGTTAAAAGTACATGATAAAGTTCAGTAATATTCTCACATTATCATGTTTTATAATCGAAAAAAAACTACCTATGTTGGCAAATTATTTTTAAAAACGCCAGGAAGCCTAAGAAGTCTGCTTTTTAAAAATCTCTCATCTGTAGTTTTATTAAATAACTAGAGGCCTGGTGCACAAATTCGTCCACAGGTGGGGTCCCAAGGGGGGTTGGGTGGGGTGGGACATGATCAACCCTCTGGGCAGGTGGTGGGATGCCCTTGCCAGCCTGGGATCCAGATCTGTCACACTGACATTTGTGCTGGTTGTCAGGAGCCACCCAGTGACCACTTTTATATTGTTTCTTCCAGGCAGAGCATCTAGGGAGGGGAAGCAGCCACAGTGCTGGAGGCCCATTTCCAGGAGGCCAGCTGAGCGGTTGGGATTGTCCTGGTGGTGCTGGTCCATCGGTGCCTGACCCATTCTCAGGAGATTGGACCTGCAGGACTGCTGAGGGAGTGAGTGGCTGCCGCCGGGGTAGTGCGCCACCGGGATGGGTTGGTCAGCTGAATGGTGCTCCCACTGTGGGAGTGTACTGACCACCAGGGGACAGCTCCTGCATTGAGCATCTGCCCCCTTGTGGTCAGTGCGCATCATAGCAACTGGCCAACCGGTCATTCTGGTTGTTCCAGTCATTCCGGTTGTTCGGTCATAAAGGTTGCTAGGCTTTTATATAGGTAGATAAGCTCAGTAGGTAGGGTAGTTGACATATTTTTATATGTTCTTAAATAACAACAATATTTAAAATATCTCTCACTTTATTTAGCTGCATTTTATGTTCATCAAAAAATAAAGGTATATTATATACCGGGTGTCCCCCCAAAATGTATACTCATCTTAACAACTCATAGCTCAATAGCTGGTTCTTTCTTTTCAGATTTAAGCCTTTGGAATTAATAATTATTCAAAGTGTGTATACATTTTGGGGGGACACCCTATATATGTTTGATTTCTAGAGCATCCATCAACTTTATTAACTAATTCAAAATGTTAAATTAATGTAATAAATTTAACAAACAGGATTAACTAGTTAAATGAATTTAACTATATAGAAAATATATTTTTCAATGTAAATTAAACTTGTTCTATATTAGGCTATGTTTTACATTAAACATAGAACATTCCTATATCTTTAAAGTCTCTATATGACACACCACAAAAATGAGTTGAAAATATACATTAGCAAGATATAATTTTAAATACTGTAAACTTCATAAATTATCTATGGAAAATATTGTTTTTTTTTATTTTTTCCTTTTAAATAACCACTTAGAGGATTTATGTTAATTAGTAAAAATTATCAGTATTTAAGAATAATCCAAAATTGATGTCATTGTTATTTCTTTTGGGTATGATACACTGTCAATGGTCAAATAAACAAAAAACTTTGACCCCATCCCATAAAAGTAAAGTAATTAAGTCTCCTTTCATAACACAATGACAATAAATCTGAAATTTCAAAGAAAGGTTCTAATGAAATTATACATCAGGCACTCTCAATTTTCCTGTGGGTGAGGGGTGGGGAAGTTTTCATTGCTAGTCATATGCTTCAGTTTTTCACTTTCTTTTGTGAAAAAGGGGTGATTGTGAAAAAGGGGCTTTGTGAAAAAGGGGCTTCTCTTGTGAAGATGTGGGGCGATTGAGGAAATAACCTGATTTTGTTCTATGCCCCAAATTTAAAAACCTAGCTAATATTCTATGCATATCTACAAAAACATGTAGGCTATGAAAAAAAACACAAGGATAATTGAAACATAGATAACTGTTTGATATTTATAAGCATTTTCATGATAACTAAAAATCATGTGTACATCATATCATTAGTTACATTTAATAAAAATGGTAAGGATAAGTGTAATATTCAATTTGCATCATTTATATTATATATGGCTATGCATATAATTATGATATATCAGTTTATGCCTTTGGTTTCCTAACTAGCTAGAATCTTCTTTCCACAGATTGCTTATTATTTAAAAATAATCTGGGTTGAGTTCTTGCTTCCACAGCACAGCATGACAGACCTCTTTATAATTACAGTGTTAAATTATATAAAAATTCTAAATTGCTTTGCCTTCCAACTTTAAAAAGGGAATTGAAAAACCATAAAAGTTAATGATTCAGGGTCACCTAATAAATATTGTCAAATGAGGACTATAATTCATAGCTTTTTGTTCCATCATCAAATACCAGTTTATGATACAACATTGCCTTTTTACAGGAAACGGGTATTTATAGAAGAATATAGACATCTTTAATTAAGAGTGGAGGGGTTGATTTGATGGAGGAATATATGGCAATGATGTCACCTCTATTCATATACATATAACTTGTTTTGAAAATTCTTAAGTCTTATTGAGGTACAATTAATATACAATCAGGTGCACATGTTTAAAGTGTACAGTTTGTTAGAATCTGGCATATGTATTCATCTATTAAAAACACCACATCTATACTAATAAAAGGGTAGTATGCTAATTAGACAAGACATCTTCCTGACGTCCTTCCTGACAAAGCCGGCCCAGGTGCCTGCGGCTGCAGCTGGCCCAGGAGAAGCCTTCCATGGTCCCAGGGTCGGGGTGGGGTGGGGGGGTGTTGGGAGAAGCTGCTCCACAGACCAGCCTCTGCCATGGACCTGTTTGGGGACCTGCCGGAGCCTGAGCCCTCGTAGGCTGCCAGTAAGTGAGGGGCAGCCCTACCTGAGAGGAGAAGGGGGAAGGTGGGCAGGCTGGTGGTGGCCTGGAGGCAGCCGGTGCCTGAGTTGGTCGGCAGGAGGAGAGGATGGGCAAGCGCACGTGCCTAATGTCTGGCCCCAGCATGGCACTGCAGCCCCGGAGCCCCAGAGTGCTCTGCCATGTTGCCATGTTCGCTGCGTAGGCAGAAAGGGCTCTGCTTGAGGCGTGGGCTGGGGGCAGCGCCGGCCCCCCACGGCCTTTGTGTGCAGCCCAGCCTCGGGCTGCTCAGCGTCAGCCTGGAGCAGAGTCCCTCTGCCTTCCCAGGTAGCATAGCACCCGGGGCTTCTAGCTGCAGCCCTCCAGCCTGGGTCTGAATTGCTTTTCCCTCGAGCAATGTTTTTCCACGCATGTGTGTTCAAGTTCAGGGATTTGTTTTGGTTTGTTTTTACTCCAGAGACTGAAGGAATCACCAGCGTTATCTTTTGTGTTTTTGAATCATCCTCTGTGCTTCTCTGATTTTTCGGTCGATAGTAGTTTCCCAGGTCACGGGACATCTCCCTCTCCCCAGAGTCAGGAGCACCAGCTCAAGTCCACCTGACGGCCCAGCCTTGACCACGGGGGTGAGTTCCTGCAGGCTGGGGTTTGATCGCCATGCATTAGCCATAGGAGACCGGTACCTTTGTTATTGCTGTGTGCCGGGTTTTAATTGGGCAAATGCCCAGCGGTCCTGGGTGCCAGCCCTGCAAAATTCTGCAGGAGGAGAATTCTTTCTGGGTTTCCTCAGATTTCCTCAGCCCCTACTCACCCCTCTGCAAAGGCAAAGAACAAGTGAGGCCCCTTAAATAAAAATCAGAGGTCTCCAGCAACTGATCCTGTGGGCCTCTCTCATCACAGTCATTTGGACTGGATGGCATTTGAGTATTTATCTAGGCACCAAGACAGAGAAACACAAGCTCAAGTCATGATCTCTGCCCTTTAAAAATTCACAATCTTATTAGAGCGAGTGGATAATAAAAGCGCAGTAATGACATCAGAAGGTAAGGCCACAATACAGAGAAGAAACGAGGCAATTGCTAGGGTGATTTTCCAACAATAAGTACAAAGAGTATGTGCTGTGAATTAAATAAAAAAAATACTTGGAAGTAGCTGCTTCACAAGTATTTTAAAGGAAGCTGAGTTCCATGTGAACTGTGTACTATGCTATGATATTTGAGGCACAGAACAAGGGAGGCCTTAAGTGTACTATGCTTTGATATTTGAGACATTCTTTATTGTTCAATGTGATTTATTTCTGTATGCCTCAGTTTTGTAATAGTTAAATTACCTAGAAACTGAACCAAATATAAGCCCTTGAAGGGGAAATGTAAGTTGGATAAGCTTCACTATTACAAGATCAACAAGAAAGAATTCAGAGACAAGAATGAGAAGCAAATTGCATCCACTCTAAGTTGCTGCTAAAGAAAAAGAATGTTATACTATGAAAATACTTAATACAGATTGTAAAAAGGTTTGTTCAGAGGATTTCCTAGAGTAGGTAGTATTTCAATTAATTTTTTTTTTTAATATGAAGAGGTTAGCTAGATAAGAAAAAGGTGTAGGGGTCCTGAATTGGAGAGGGTGCAGTTCGGGCTAAGGGACATCCCACCCCCTCCATGCATGACTTTTGTGTACTGGGCCTCTAGTCTATATATAAAAGCCTGAGTGACCAGAACTACCAGTCACTATGATACGCACTGACCAGCAGGAGCCAGAGGCTCCCACAGCCAACCTTCCCTGGCCGACCAACCTCTCACAGTCCCTCCTCTGGTTAGCAGGCCCTGGGCTGGGACGGGGAACCAGGGGTGGGTGGCATTGGATGTGGCCCCTTTCCCAGAGGGGCTGAGGGTCAGCTCCCTTCTCAGAGCCAGTGGCTAACCTCTCATGCCCTGTCCCTCTCCCTGTCTGGCAGACCTCGATCGGTCTGCTGCCCGCACACTATGGTGGTGATGCACAGTGGCAAGCGAGGAGGAGTGGGGGGGAGGTGGGGAACTGTGCTGTGGCATCTGTTCCTTCTGGGCCTGGTGTTTGAACCACAGCCTTCTCTCTGGCCTGCGCCTGACCGGCCTGGCCCCCATTGGCCCTGATCACTGGCCAGGCTTAGGGACCGCACCTGTGCACAAATTTTGTGCACTAGGCCTCTGGTTTAAGATAATAACCCCTTCAATTTCCTTTTGCTCTTTTATATTCACATCCTCCCATCTCTCTTTGCCTTTCTTCTATTCCCAGACAACCACTGATGTGATTTCTATTACTGTAGATTAGCTTATATTTCCTATAATGTTATCTAAATGGAATAATACAGTATGTATGATCTGTGGGCTGGGATGCTTGCTTCTGTCACTCAGCAAAGCTATGTGGAGATTCACATATGCTGCATCCTTTTTTTGCATCATTTGTTCATTTCTTTTTCTTTTTTTCTTTTTGTTTCCAGATGAATATATATATTCATCTGTTTCCAAGTTGGTACATATTTTTGGTGTTTCCCATTGTTTACTAAAATACTTTTAGTAAAATATTCTTGTTCTGACATACACTTTCTTTATCCTGAGAGTTGGAATAATATTACAGGTGTATGTCTACCTTAAAGAAAAGTTTTCTGAGGTGATTATCTCATTTTATATTCTGACCAACAGTATATGATGATTGCAGTTGTTGATATTAACCAACATTTTGTTTCATATTATCTTTTTTTCCATTTATTCTGTAAGGTAGGTAGTAGTATCTTGTTTGAATTTGGATATTCCTAATAACTAATAATGTTGAGAATAATTTTACTTGCTTTTTAGTTCCATGTAGCTTTTTAGGTGAAATGTCTGTTCAACCTTTTGTTCATTTCTTAAAAAGAATCATTCCTCTCCCCTTATTATTGAGCTGTGAGAGTTTTTCATTTTCTTTTTAAAATGTAGGTTCTCATACTATGTCTGTTATATTATTTACAGATAATTTTTCAATTTTTCCTGTCTTTTCATTTTCAAAGAAGAATCTTTTAAAGAACAGAAGTTATGAATTTTAATAAAATACAATTTACCTGTAGGCTTTTTAATGATTGGATTTTTACTGGCATATCTAAAACCCTAAGTTTGCAATGGTTTAAAAAATATATTTTAGTGTTTGAGATTTTCCATTTAGTCAATGATTTATTTTGACTAAGTTATTGTATATGATTAGGTAATGGTTCTTAATGTTTAGTAGCATTTATTAGTGAAACCATCTGCGTGGGATGTTCTCTTCTTGGGAAAGTTTTAAACAATAAATTTAATTTCTTTAATAGATACCAAACTATTTATTTATCAACTTATGCTTGAATACATTTTTGTATTTTTTGTCTTTCAAGGGATTTATCCATTGTATCTAAATTACTAAATGTACTAAATTACTAAATGTTATATACAGTTGTCTATAACATACCTTAGTGTTTTGAAATCTGTAAAACTGTAGTGATTTAAACTGTATATATTTTATGCTATTGGTACTTTTTGTTTCTTCTCTTTCAGGCTTACTCACTTTGAATATGATTTATTAATTTCATTGATATTTTAAAAGCCTGTACCTTCCCCTGGGCATATGAAATGACCTTCTAATTTTACTCTTATATATAGTTGCTTTTGAATGTCCCAGTTTTTAATATCTGGTTTCTGAAAGGGAAAAAGAGAAAAGTGAAGGGCAAGGGAAATTACACTGACCTTTAGGTCTCCTGGAAATCACCTCTTTGTGTGAAAGTTGGAAACAGTAAACAGTGATCAGAGTAAAGATACCTAATATCTAGAGGACTGAGTCATCTTTGCATTAGTAACACGAACAGCCTTAAGGCAGGGAGGTGGGAGATAGTTAGAAAACAGAGCCAAGAACTAAAATTGATATAAATTAACCACACTTTGTATGCTAAGCCAAGCATGTCATATACGCCAGATTTCAAAATAGTTACATCAGATAGATTACTCCAGTGCAATTGTTGTTTCCATGAACAGACATATTAGTGATGATTCCTATTCTGCCATCTCCTAGGATCATCCTGCTATGTTAGTCTATTTTAAAGACGTGTTTCCCCAACAAATCTTTAGAATCACATCTGATGAGATTCAAATTCTGATTCTGAGTACAATGACTATGAACAAGATTCTTAAATTCTTTGAACTCTTTTTTAACCTATTAAATGGAGTTGTTATTATTATGTATCTGACCACATTTATTGGATTTAAAAATTTAATTTATATAAGATAGTTGAGTAGTATTTGGCATATAATAGTCACTAATTTAATGGTAGTTTATATTATAAGGTTATTTTTACTCATTCAAAACACCTTAAATTTTGTAGACCTAAGGCATTTATAAAATACTTGAGCAAAATCAAGGAAAATATAAATACAGAAGAGTGACACAAAAGGGAAGAAACGGAATTGAAAAGGAAAATATAAAAACTATTTTAGAACATTACAAAAATAAACAAACCATAATATATATTTCCAGTCTTGATTAAGTTCTTTACAATGTAAGGGAAATGAATTCCACTGGGCATAGGGTAATTAGAAAATAACTTTCATGCTTTTATACCACCATACTTATAATTTAATTATATTTTGCATACAATTACAAAAGAGTCAATTTTAAGGGACTACATAAGTATTATATTTATAATGACAGTGTTGAAATGTCTTTAAATATTGGACTTTTTCTATAGAACTTACCTTTTCACTGGTTTAATATATAGATGATATTGAAGTCTATACAGAATTTTATAAACCGTCAGCAGAGCTTGAACAGTATTTCACTAATCTGTCACCCTCACAGATAACTTGAGATTAATCATGGAAAACCCTTTGTCTTACTCATACATAGTAACATAGAGGGAACAACACAGTATATTACTTTTTCTCTGATTTTGAAACATGATGCAATTGAAAGGAAATAAGTAGTTATATTTTTAGATGATTCTTGAATACCATATATTGGGTCTGCTGTTACTT